TGAGATTGGCGCCTGATGCCACCTGAACGAAACGAGCGGGTCCGATTTGCTTGGCGATGCAGTAAATACTTTCCGAAGATCCCAAGTTGCCCACTCACCATCATCGGCGCCACTGGCAAGAAGGAAGGTTGATGACGGATTCCAGCTTATAACATTAACATCACATGCGCTGGCATGTATTGTGGCAACAGGGCTCAATGCCTGTCTGGTATCCCAAATCTTCACCATCCCAGAAGTATCGGCGGAGGCAAAAATTTCAGCCTCAATCGTACTCCAAGATAAATCTTCGACAGAACAGGAGGGGTTCAGGAGCTTTCCAAGTGGCGTAAAAGTTGCTTCCCCCAATTGCGACATGACGATTTTGCCACTGCAGTCTCCGGAAAGGATTCGACCGGGTGTCCCTTTTATTGACCACGCAAGGGCATATCCCTCATCAGTGCCATGGTCGGTCATAACGGCCAATGAGGCTGTACTGTTGTTTTTGACCGCTTTATGCCTTTTCTTGAGATCTTCTCCAATAAATGAATATTTCAAAGAATTAACAGGATCATCAAGCTGCCTAAGATGATCCTCAGAGTTCCATATATAAATTTTCCCCAAATCCGACCAAGAGGCGACATATGCTGGTATGCCTGTTGCTCGTGAGACTCGAACCCGATTCACACAGCCTTGGTGCGGAACAGAGATAGAGGAAAGAGCCGGTGATGACGCTTTGCATTTCACATTTACTTGGTGTTCGTCCTCATCGCTGGACGAGTTATCTGATGACGAAGAGAGATATCCAGAGTCAATGGAATGCTTTTTCTTTAGCACTTTGAGATTAGAAGCCTTGATGTAATACAGTCTGTTCTTTGAAGACGAAGCGGCTTGACTGCCAGCGACTATTGAAACAGAGAGATTGCCATTTTCATTTACATCCGTTGACAAAAAGTCGAAAGAAAGACAGGGCCATTCGATAGTAAGTTCCCGGAACAAATTGTATACGGATGGATTTACATCCAATTGGTTGTCCTTGTCAACATGCATTGATGGCAAATATGTCCGCCTAGGAGTAGTGTCTTCCTGCTCGTCCTGTTCTTGCTCCTCAATCTTCAGATCGGAAAATTTTCCGATCGAAGATAAAGGAATCGCTTTCTTCGAATGCATCATATTAACGTCTTGTTGGTCGCTGTCCTCTTCGGTATCGCAACCATCAAGCAAAGAAGGATCAAATATGGTGTCTTCATCCTCAATGTCATCGAATATGTCTTCGAAGGAAGACCCCTCATCTTCGGATCCTTGCTGCCTTTTGGAAGGCATTAATTTTTCAAAAATGAATTTAATTTTAAAAAATTTACAACAGCATAGTCTGAGGGTGATATTTTCTTTCACCGCGCTCAGCATAGCCCTCCGCGTGGTCTATCTCCTCAAATGTGCGCTTTTGGCCACGATTGAAGCCCTTTTGCATGGAGGCACCCGTGATTTTTGACTCCTGTTCGATGGTTTGAAGGATCTGCTCCAAGGGCACCGAGGTCACAAATAGGAGTTCGCCATGTTTTTCGGGCCATCTTTGGTTTTGCAGCATCGATAGTGCATACGTTGCTGATTGTTCAGTGGAATACTAAAAATATTACGGCAGAAAAAACCTTGACAAAGCATTGAGACTTTGCAAAATTGAGGTAGAAGTCCATAACTTCTCCATACCTTTCCAACAGATGCTGTAGCCCTGCCGCGCTAAATGGCGGAAGAAGCCTGGTGATGGAAAGAGACTTTTCTGAAATATATTGGTAATCTACCATTAGGGCGATATATTCTCAAACCTGAACCCAGTTTTGTGTTGACCTCAAACAATATTGCAAGAGGGTTTCTCGACTCGGCCACATCAGATTTAATGTGGTGCACCATTTGTTGATTTTCCTTGTCGGAGCTTTGAGTTGGAGCTTCGAGCTGAGATTCTTTGACCAGATCTTCTGCCTGAGCCATCTGATCGCACTCTACGCGCATTGGCTGGGTATCGATGGAAACTGGCTCTGTTGGGCCAGTGGATAAAGGCTCTTGCGTGCTTTCTTCAAACACCGTATGTATGTTTGCACTGGGTGCAACATCTACCATATCCATGTTTGAATCCTGTGCAATGGTATCTATAACTGGCGCAAGTATTTTTTCTGATGAAGGAGTATGGTCCATTTTCAGCTTTTCTTGCAAAAAATCATGCTCACCATCACCACTTGCGTGTGCCTTTTTTTTGGGTTTGCGAATAATAAGGCTTTCCGGTTGCTCTGATATTTGTCCAGAGGGTTGTTGTTGTGGAGAACTTTGTGCTGATAGATCTTCCCCTTTGCTGGTTGGGCTCAATGCACCATCTTGACTAGATCCTTCGCCCTGCAAGGCTTCCAAAAGCCTTGCTACAAGATCTTTTTTTAAACCAGAAGTTTGGAGGCCCCTGCTGGAGAGTTCTTCTCGTAAATCGACTACCCTCAAACGTTCAACTTGTTCTGCTGATAACGCTGGCATCTTCCCAATGAATGGCCGGATCACGAATATATTTGCAGTGACAATTCCGAAACTTTGTTTCGAATTGTAAAAATCGATTAAATTTTACTTCAAATAATTAACTTTAATTCTTTAATAGCCGCAATAGATTCGCCTATTTACCGCATATGTTATGTTATCGGCTCGTTTCTTGCACGATCACACGTTAAAGTTTACATGCACTCGTTTGTGGTGCCTTGATTTGAGCTTGTTGCAAAGTCCTGTGTCCAAAACTGGCTTACCTGTGCTGCACCGAAATATTCAAAAGACCCAAGGATGTTTTGTCGATGCCCTAAAATCAAATGTAGACTTGATATACCTGGCGAGTTCATCCATGCCTGCATCACATCATCTACATCGGATACTTTTGCTGCAATATTTTCTGCAATTGATCTCCATTCAAATCCTGCCTCGGTGACCCTTTCTCCTAACGAAGGTCCTCCCGGAAGCTGGTGGCTCATTTCACCCATTTTGGCCATCAACACGGAATGCTGCGTGGATGATGACACGAGTTTCCTAGTTATGTCATCAATGCGAATGTGTACTTATTTGCACAGAGCGGCTTCAATCCTCTAGATGTTCTTTCCCCGTTAACACGCGCCAGAAGCTGAAACGTTAGCGTAATTTGGCTCAAGTAGAGCGGATCGGAATTTCTTTTTTGCTCACTCTGTGGTTGTCTTAAAGAGAGACTTGTTCCTTTACTTTGATCCGGAGTGTTCTGCTCAGAGCCCCTTATTATCCACACGCCATTTTCACCCGTCCATAGCGTGCCTTTTGCAGGAATCGAATCTGGAATATCATTTCTTTGAATCGGAATCTGTCGTGGCGTAGGAGGCATAGTATCTCCCTGCAAAATAAGAGATCTTTCATTCCATTTCCAAGGTTGACTAGGGCCAAACTGCAATATCGGAGCTTCATCGTCAAATGGGATTCTTGCAGAAAGGTTGTATGCTTTTTTGGGTAAAAGAAATGCAACAATGTACACAAGGAACATCAGCAGCATCTAAAAGTCCGCATTGTCTCGTTTGGTGTAAACGCCCTTAATAAAGCCACTGATATCACATGTGGATGCTTCAAAACAAGATTTGGTGATTCTTTCGCAATTATCCGGTCTATTGATGATCAGCAAAAATTACAAATGGAAAACCCTAATATATTTGATCGATTTCTATATAACGGGAAACATACATTCTGGGCACATATAAAATGAAAGCTCTCCTTTATTTTATTGCTCTTTTAGCACTTGCCTTTTCATATTGCGGGACTGACCAATTTGGGCCAACACGATGTGTTCAATGTCCACTCTTCATACCACCGTGCAACTGCCCCTTTGGCTATGTGTGCAGATATATACCAAGGTCTTGTTTTAGCTGTCCCAGACGATTCTGCCAGCGACTTTCGCGCTTTGGGCCTGGTGAGCGTGGAGATGACAATGGAAGGAGGGGGGGACCTTTTGCCGTTTAGGTTGATCTGCAATCATTGAAAATAAAATTGCAATTTACAAATTGAATTAATTTTTAGTTGGAATGGCGGCACTCTCGTCGTCGTGCCCCTCTTTTTCCTCAACCGACGGGGAGGAAAAGAATTCGGCTCCATCATCTATCAGAGATGAGCGGCGCACAAGAAAGTTTTCCGATTTTGTCTCGTTATCTGTTTCTAAGCATCTTTTGCAGGAACTCAGGGATTTGCTTTTGCGCAAAACGAGAAAGATACACGAACCAAAGGACTCTAGCATTTCCACCGTCTTTAGCAAGCTGGTGCATTCCATTGAACCGGCGGAAAATTTGTTCTCTAAAAAGGATCTCAAAATGGCATTTTCGCCAGATTATCCGCAGATAAAAAAAAAGAGGCCCTCCTCACCGATAGACATTGTTGGGGTTGATGCTGAGAATCTTGAGTCCAAAAGGACATCATATGATATAAACAGAGAATCCTCCATAACAACAATCCCACCTATTAAAAATGAGATGAAGAAAATGCTACCTGCAGTTGAAGAACAGCCCTTTTCATTGTGTTGCCCAAAGAATGGGCCTGCTCCAATTTCTGCATCAAAGGGAGAGTCTTTAACAAAGCGAAGCTTTACTGGAGCAGGGGATATAAAAGGCCAAGAGCCCATTTTTAGCAAGAAAGAAACTTTTCAAGATGCGAAGCAGCCAAAGGCAAAGACACCTGTTCATTCCGCATCTACTTCCTCAATGCAAGTGGCTACTTCGTACTTTGACCCATTTGAAACCACGACCTCTTCGCCAATGATGTCTGCTCCATTATCTAAGGCGACAAAACGAACAGAAGCAGCACAGCCTTTAAGGCAGCCATCTGCAAAGGCCGGGGTTCCTGCTAAGGAAGCCATTCCATATGGAACATTTGGGCCCATGGTGCTACAAAGTTATTACGGTGTCAACCACAAGTTTGAAGGCATTTCACCGGTAGATGATTATGTCTTTTTGGACAAGGTAATCCATCTTTCTTTTGCCTCCGCACCATAGTCTTTTGATTTCGTTTTTATTTCCGGTAGGTTGGTGAAGGAACATTTGGCGAGGTGCACCGCGCACGTCATCGAGCCACTGGGCGCCTAGTGGCACTGAAGCGCATCCTTCCAATGCCTAATGGCGAAGGGGTATCTAGCAACGAGCTTATGTTTAGTTTCCAATTACATCTTTGAGGGAAATAAGGATCCTTAAGCGTATGAACCATCAAAATGTCATTTCCATTCAGGAACTTGCGCTCTCTACGGCAAGTTCACAAGGCCCGCCGACTTTTTTCATTGTTTTCCCGTTTGTGGAGCATGACCTGGTTGGCCTTCTAGATGCACCAAACATACGGTTCAATGTGCCCCAAATCAAGTACTATGCGAAACAACTGCTTCAAGGTGTTGCCTATGTACATTCAAAAAACTTGCTGCATCGCGACATCAAAAGTAAGTCTGGATATCGTATTTTGACCTCTTTTTGTTTCGTCTCCGACCTGTGTTCTGCAATGCGTGTTTTCTTTTAATTTGATTCCCTAACCCTAGGCGCAAATATCCTTGTCGGGAATCGAGGGGAGGTAAAGATTGCCGACTTTGGCCTTTCCAGGACGTTCGACCCCCATCGTGCTGCATCGATGACGCCAGGCGTTGTCACAAGATGGTATCGGCCGCCAGAGCTGTTGCTTGGCGCTCAACATTACACAACGGCAGTTGATATGTGGGGTGTTGGTTGCATCGTTGCAGAGCTTTTTTTACGGCAGCCTCTCTTTCAGGGCACGTCTGAACTGCATCAGTTGACTTTGATTTTTGACACCATTGGCTGGCCTCGGCCTGGAATGCGCAGTTTAGCCAATCTTCCTGACTCCTCCAAAGTTCCTAATTTGTTTTCTGAGCATCAAGCAAAGCCGTTGCATCCACTTGATGAGAGTCGGATTGGCGATGCCCAGATGCTTGATCTTGTACATCGTCTGCTCAGTATCGATCCGGATGCAAGAATATCGGCAAAGGAAGCCTTGGAGCATCCGGCATTTACTACAGCCCTGCCTCTGACGGCGACTACCGCTGAATTGCCTCATTTTTCTGGATGCTCCTATCATGAGCTGGCAAAGCGTCGTCGCGATGCTACGAATGCAGCTGTCGCTGCTGCTGGGGCAGTCGAGTCAGCAGCTGCAGCTGCAGCTGCACCTGCATCCTCCTCTGTCTCTATCTCCGCTACCTTTACACGTCAATACTCTTCTGGACCACCTGTCAAACCAGACGAGAAAATGTCGTCACCGCAGCCGTGTGATTCTGTATCTACAAAGCATAATTCTGCCATTCTCAATCGAGAGAAAACAGAGGATCTACCAAACGTAACACATCGCCCTATGGATGGAATCGAAACATCCACCTCACCACGAACATACTCTGGCCATCGATCATCTTCGGCGGTGAGCTATTCTCCCTTTGAGTATAACCTGAACCGCCGCCCAACTCCCCTTTCCTCCTACCATCAGAACAACAATCATCATCATCATCATCATGAGCATCATCATCATCATCGTTTTAAAGATGATCGCTCTGAGGATTTCCGCCAGTACCGTCCGTATCGCATGACTGCTCCGGATGATTGGGATCAAAGAGAAAGACCGCCACCACCCGACCACTATTATCAGCGACACCGTAGAGGCGGATTTCGGGATTTTAGCCATCGCGAGCACGATCGCCATCCAGAACCACAT